AATTCTTTGTCAACAGACATAACTAAAAAGTCATTTGTGCATTTCTCAGATAAGTATCTTTTTTTATAACTCAGCAAGCATTTACCTAAGGGTAAGGAAATTAAGAAAATTAGAAAGGAACCTATGGACTGTTCTAGTAGTCAATGACAAAAGTAAAGTTACCTACGTGGGATTAGAAACTCGCACCCATCTTTCAGCAAACTGTTTTGTTACAAATAAATTAATTTGAAAATCAGTTTCTAGACTAGTGATCAAAGATAAGTGATCGATAATTACTGCAATTCTCACACCCAGATAAGGTCATTATCTTCAAAGGAAGTAAAAAGCCTTTCAAGATGAATGCCTCAAACCTGTTGAATATTTTTATTTGAATGTGAAAGGAGCTCTACCTTCCCTACTCCCTTCCCCTAAAATTTGCTCATTTATATTAATAAAGAATTTAATACAGGCAGGATTGATCTATTAGCCATTTTCCAGTTGAAGCTAGGTTTTGTGGACTTCTAAGATTTTTCTATTCAATAGGATTACAAATGTTTTAATATTTTTAAACAAAAAGAAGGGAGTGCAGTGTTCTTGTCAGTGATCAGTCATCCTTCACTGATTCATCGGGGAATATGACTCTCATAAGAAGTATGGACCAGAACAGGACCAAAGAAAGAATGGTTGTCCCAAGTGCTGACAATAATTATTCTAGCTTTTGAGTTTTGGTGGCCTACTAAGTGCCAAGCAATGAACAGGATGCTTTTGTGCGTGGCTTCCTTAATTCTCATCATAATAACTCTCAAAAGTAAGTGCAGTGATACGTTGGCTTGCAAGCATAATTTGTTCTGGAAACAAACTACTCGTATTACAAGACATTGCTCGTTTACCACGTTAAAATGTACATATTAGAAATGTTTGCTCATCTTGCAGAATACTCGCAAACCACGTTACTCACAATCCAAGGTTTTACTGTATTACTATCATCACTCTGGGCTAAAAACGGCAGGAATTGCTCTGACTACACGCCAAGAAGAAGTTTTACACATCCAATTGTTCATCACAGTCTAGTATCCAACTTTGTTGCTAATAGTTTACGTGCTTACAGTACCAAGAAGTTTATGTGTTTCAAATTCACAGAACAACTATAGAGGCAGTAACTCTTTGCTCTCTATGGGCAAAGGCTGCCATCGTGTGGACATTGTACATATAACAAAAACAGTCACTGGAACTAAAATTTGTCATTGCACTAAGAATTTTGCAACTAGATCCTTGCATTGTTACACACACACACACACACACACACACACACACACACCAGTGTTTCTTATAATTAAAAAGCAAAGCTTTCCTTCAGATGTGATTTTTAAGTCTCATTTAAAGGTGCAAGTGCTTCTGAACATTTGAAAGGAGAAAATATCTCATCATTATAAGGACTCATCCCATTAGTCTTTAAGGCAGCACATTAGATTTTATTAAATTTCATTTTTCTAATCCTTAAATAGGTTTTTGTTAAATAATAAAAAGGAAGGTGTAGTGAGATCTTTGAATGGAATTTCCTGGAGCGTGAGATTTTGTAGCAAGAATTCAGGGCAGAACTCTGGGCTTAGGGCATCCTCCCGTCCCCTTCCTGCACTTCTAGTCCATGCCAGCCGGTATTCCCGGAGTTGGTCGCGCACTCGTCGGAGCTTGACTGAGGGATCCTATGGCCTAATTGTTCTGTTATCCACCCCCAAAGGTGGAGTCTCCCTGCAATGCCTCAGCCACCTGTGTGTTTTCAAATACAAATGGGATCATGAGATCAAACGTATAAAGAGATCTCTGGGGTGTAACGCTACTTTACAGGCACACAGAGATGCCTCTTCCCTTTTTCTCTCAGTAAGTCCTACCACCAAGCTCACTGAATCTAAAATCTCTAGAATTAAACAAATTCTTTGGATTTAAGGCCTTGTACTATTAGAATCAAAATGGGCAACAGAGAGAATGTAAACTTCCAATGACTATTTTTAAAACCAAAGTATTTTCCAGGTATAGAAACAATAAGAACACATTGTGAGTTATACCAGATACCACTGAGGAGACACAGGAGGCAATCATTGGTTCCTGAATGAATATGTGAATGAATGAAAGAATAAATTCACATGAATGGCGGGCATTAAAAAGAAACGGTTTCACAGTGTTGACCAGGCCATTTTGGCTGAATGTAAAGTTGTGGTTTACCATACGTTTTATACCTAAGAGGGTGCCTGGCATAAAATCACTCTTTAAATATTTATTGAATGTGTAAGTAAATAGGAGGAAATGGAATAAATTAGAAAATAGCATCAATGATTAAAAAAAAAGAGTCTGAGGGCTGGGTCCATTTACCAAAAACTGTGTTGAGCTTACTCAGTGAATAAATATGTGCTTGCTCTGTGTTAGGCAGCATGGAAAAGGCATTAATCAAGTTATTGCAAATAATTATAAATGATGAAGTTCTCTGAAGGAAAACTCTTAATGCTTCCATGGATACTTACCAATATGGCGTAGTGGGAGTAGGCGGGCTGGAGAACTTGGGAGCTCATCTTGTGCCCAGACATATTCTCAGTAAGCAAAGGCTGCCAGTTTCCTTTCTTTCTACACACATCCATCAACTCAAATTTAAGGAGAATTTCTGTTTTAGATATGAGTAAATTTCCCCTTCAAGATATTCAATGGTGCCTGGGCTTCCTAGTGTCTTTAGGTTAGCAAATACCTACAGGGTTTGTTAAAGCCATTTGGATGGTCTTCAGGGATAGTCCAGTCAAGCAACTTTGATGCTGTGATTACATGTGTGTGAGTGATACCTGCAATAGTGCCACCAATTCCCACAAGCAGTTGTTTCTTTGCATCAAGACACTAGTTCTCAAGTGTACTCCTCAAAGCTCTAGCTCCATGAGTTATGTTATTGGGGGAGAAAAATGAGAGATGGGAAATGAAAGTCAGACAAGCTTAGAAAATGCTGAATTAAACAAAATCATGCATGTTTTCTTTTCTGCAGGTCTTCTTAGAGCCTTTAATAAGCTGATTTCTTTGTAAATTTCCAAGAGGGTGTTTTTAAAACTTAATGACCACAGGGCCCTTTTCTTGCAGAGGCCCTCGAGGTAGTGGTGTCCCATGGAACACACTTTTAGAAATTCCGTGGTTTCTAAATGCAAATGACTTTGAGATAGAGGTTGGAACTGGGGTGATCCATTAATGTGATAAATCCATTAATTCATAATCATTTTAGTAAACTCAGGTCATCAAATTATCCACCCTTTTCAAGCAACACTCTGAAGCAACAGCACTTTAGACAGATCAATTTCATAAAAAAAGTTCAGGTTGTGAGGGAGGCCCCAGTGCAATGCAGGTCCAGGGGTGTCAGCAGGCGGCCCTGTGAGTGAGGCGTGGGGATAGCCCAAGTGGATGATGGGGATGCACAACCAGCTCGCCCTCGGGCTCTCTCACTCCTGCTTAACTCAGGTTGAATGTTGATCCCACCGCCAGCATTGTCTTTTAGCTCATTCTTATAGGACCATGGATGACGTGAAACAGCTAAAAAGGTAATACATCACCGCAAGTGAATAATTCACTCCTTCCAGATAGGCTTGGTTTTTCTCTCTAAAGTTTTAAGCAATCTCTCCCCAACTAACCCAAGACCTGGGACCAAGAGTAAAAATATGGTTCCACATATCCTAAGTCTCACTATGTAAAAGTTATCAGTCAGGCTAAACAGCAAGATAAAATGTGCTGTATCCTCTTGCCTTGACAAATATACCTTCCTGACCCCTAGGAAGCCGCGTTCGAGTTCCTAATTCATGACTAGGTAGGGGCTCTGCACTGACCCGTGACACTGTCAGCCTCTCGTCCCCTCTCTCCCACATCCATCTCTGTCCCGCACAGGGAAGGGTCTCCCACACAAAGGTGTGTGCACCTGAGCTCGCACATTCGAGCTCTGTCCACACTCTCCATACACTACCCTACAGACCTGTGTGCACCCACGGCTGTGAGATCTGCTCTCTGGAGATAGTCCATAGGAATAGGCTTTCATGAGTCCTGGACTAGCGCTCTGAGCTGTGTGAGCAAGGAATTCTGGGGAACCCTGAGGATGGTGCTCTCTCTGGACAGGCTGATGACATTGGCCCTGACCGTTCTCACTCTGTGAGAAGGGGCACAGCTGGAGGAGGGCCAGAACTAGGCAGGTCTCAGGACCAAAAGAGTGTTTGGAATTGAGAATAAAAGCTCTATGAAAATCACACTTAAAAAACTGCAGTCTTTGCAGCTACTCCCAGCCTCTGGGGGGGAAAAAAACACAGAAGAAGAAGAAAAAGAGCATTTCTTATTTCAATTTAACTACTTCTGAAAGCCTCTGGTCAACTTTTCTTCTTGTTCTCCAAGGTAAGATTATTTCCCCTTTGGCATTAAAAGGGAAACTAGATCAGTTGTGTGAAAAACCAAAAATGATGTATTTTATCAACTTCAAACTTGTCCCAAGGCTTTCTCCCACACTGTGTTAAATAATAGAAGTCTTTTTAATTGAATTTCTTTGTGTGTAGCATATGCTGGGTGACATTATGCCAGCATCTTGCCCTAAGCAGCAAAACGTTCTTCATAAAAGCATTAAGATCCAGGGCGTCAGTTGGCATGTTGGGAAGGAACACGGAACTGCAGCAGCTTGAAACCACATAAAAACAGTGCCTCTGAAATGTAATTGTAAAAACACATTGCAACAAACTGGGGGGGTGGGGAGGGGAGGAAGAATATTTAGGATTATAGAATAAAAGCAAAAAAAAAAAAAAGAAGAAGAAAAAGAGAAAGGGAGTGAAGGAGGAAAGTACTGTGGCACATCTCTGCCGATAGGTGGAAGCAATAATGTTTATCCCAGCATTCCAGTGGTCAGCTAATCTATCTACTCGTTTCCCCCTTGAAGGCCGCCATCCTTTAGAGGTGGGATTATAAATGGATGTGCTGTGGACTGAGGTAATAATTATAACACACGATTGTGTTCCCTCTCCCCCAAGGATCCTGGAGCTTCAGCAGAATGGGGACATGGACATCCTGAAGCACAAATGGTGGCCAAAGAATGGCCAGTGTGACCTGTACTCTTCAGTGGACACTAAACAGAAAGGAGGTGCTCTGGACATAAAGAGCTTTGCAGGGGTCTTTTGTATCCTGGCTGCTGGAATTGTCCTCTCCTGTTTTATCGCCATGCTGGAGACGTGGTGGAACAAGAGGAAAGGCTCCAGGGTTCCCTCAAAAGAGGTACTTGTTTGGGAGCTTGGGCACCAAGCTGAGCCCACAAGCAGGCTGTTTCAGGGAGGATAACCACAGGGGCGGGGATGGAGGGTTGGGGGTGGTCCTTGTTTCTTCTTCACTGGAAGAGTGAAAATAAATCTGTGAAATCTAAAAATTGGTAAGAACAATACCAATTTCCGTTTTAGGGCATCCCAGGTAAATGAAGGGGAGACCTAGAGTGTTTGAAAGACTGACAATTTCATGTGCTTTGAAATTCTTCCCAAATCTCAGGGTAGAATTTCATTCAATGACTTTTTAAAGGCTGTGATTCCCTTGACCATTTCACAAAGATGCTTATTTTATTTTCATTAGTTGTTTAACTTATAGGTAAATTACTTTTTGTGTCTTTAAGATTCAGCCTATGAAATCCAACCGTACAGTAAAATCATCAGAATTTTCTCTTCACCACCAGTGACTTCTACCCTCTGTCAGTATGTAGAACTAACGGAAGTGATCACATGTTTTTAGCTCTGATGACTCTAAGCTTTTAACAAATCCACATAGTGGAATCATCTGGAATTCAATATTTCTTTTTTACTCTTGAGTCAGCTCATCTCCAAGGCCGTATTCAAATTTTTCCAGAGATCTGAGAAAATAATTTAGAGTTACACATAATACCTCTTTTAAAGTGGCATGTGCCTTGCTTTCATAAAAAATTATGGGATCTATAAGTGTCTTATTTCCACTGAACCAAGAATCTGAAAAAATTTGAGGTAATGAAATAATGTTCACTAAAACTTCACAAACTGAAATGAAAACAACCTAATCTGATGAGTGCTTTGGTTTGTTGGATAGTTCCAAAGAAAGGCTGGTTTAAGGTTTCTATAACTAGACCATGGCTAACTGATGCCTAGAGCAAGTCCTAAAAGGATCTTTTGCTTTAATGCATAAATAAAAACGACTTCTCATTTGCACATGAATTTTTGCATGTTAATGTATTCTTTCAAACATACTGTTTTCTCGTCTAAGGATTCCTCCCTACCATCTGATAGCACCATTTATAAGGAAGAGCTTGGCTGAGCAAAGATAAGTCTTAGCTTCTCACCTGTCTGAATGACCATGCATTCTAAATTAGTGGAGTATGAACTAAACATTAATCAGGTTTTATTGTAGTGTTTTCTTTGTGAAATAAGCTTTGGGTATCTCTGCTGTCATTGATTCAATGCAAAAGACCACATTAATGCAACATTATAGCTGAGACTTCATATTCTCAAAAATCTGGAAATTAAGGACTCCCCAAGCTCCTTATATTTTGAATTACTATATATGATATTAAATTTTTGCATTATTATATCTGTTGATGGATGACTACATTAGAGTTGCTGTGGGAACCATAAAATTATATCTTTCAACCCTCTAAAGTCTTAGTGATAATATTGCATTAATGGATATTTTTTATTGGATTTTGAAATGAAAAAGAGGAAGGAAAACAGTGATGCACTCAAAATATTTTTCACTTAGGAGCACTATAATAGCACCATAAAAAAACACATACCCCATTCTAACTCATGATAGCTAATCCAGATCTTATGAACAAATATTTTCCCCTCTTATGATTAATAGGTATTTTAAATCCTCATATATTTAATTTATTGAACTTGGCTATAAATAAGACCAGTACAAAGGACAATTTTATTTCTTGCCAGTTTTATTTTTCAAATATTGGGCTTTAATGCTCACTTTTAATGAAAATCCTAAGGGGTTTATGAATTCGTTTCACATCCAGAAATCTGTGGTTCTACTTCCTTTTTCTTTATTAAGCACCTTATTACTAAGGCTCCATTAGCATAATTCACAGCATCTTTGATTTAGAAGCCGTGTAGCATATACCTGCCCTAAACGAAAGCTGTCACTCGCATGTCGTGATTGAAGGGGTCTCTAAGTGTCCCTCTGACCTCACAATGTTGCTTCATTCAGGTTCTAGATACGTGAGTGTATAAAATCTCTCAATTAGAAATTGATTCTCTTGTGTTGAATGTTGCTGTCTGTAAACAATCTCACATATCTCTAGCCTAAGGAGAAATAACACTATACTATTCACTAATGCTCAAGCGTGAACTAGCATATCAGCATAGTGTATCTCTTAGCTCCAAGAAAGGAAAGTTAGAGTTCGGAGTGAGTAGGGGAAAGGAATAAAAATCCATCTTGGAATGAGACACCCTGACAAAGGAGGAAGCATGTGTAAAGAAGAGGTAGGAGCGGGGAGGATGAGCTTGAAACCATACTTTTCATTTGTGCAATTTTGCCTGGGTCTGTTCCCTGCATTTATAGAAGGCAATCACCCATCTACTGATCCCATACTTTGTAGCTGCATGTGGCGTCCGTTCATGTTAGAACTTTTTACTGCAAGAAAAATATGTATTATAGATAACCTTATCTCAGAATCCTTGGTACCCCCAGAACCTAGCACAGTGCCTGGCTCATATTAGGTGCTCAATAAATACTTGTTAAATGAGTAAACCCCGAAGTTCAGTTCATTACATATCATGTTTGCTGAACTACTTTTTTTTTTAACCATGGAAGCTAGTACTGATGAGAACCTTATCTTTTTTTTCTTCATCTCCAGGATGACAAGGAAATTGACCTGGAGCACCTCCATAGACGTGTAAATAGCTTGTGCACAGATGACGACAGCCCCCATAAACAGTTTTCCACCTCGTCCATTGACTTGACCCCTCTGGACATTGACACTTTGCCAACACGACAAGCACTGGAGCAAATCAGTGATTTCAGGAACACTCATATTACCACAACCACCTTTATCCCAGAGCAGATCCAGACGCTTAGCCGCACACTGTCGGCGAAAGCTGCCTCTGGTTTCGCTTTTGGCAACGTGCCTGAGCACCGAACTGGCCCTTTTAGGCACAGGGCACCTAACGGGGGCTTTTTCAGGAGTCCTATAAAAACAATGTCATCTATTCCTTATCAACCAACTCCTACCCTGGGGCTCAATCTGGGTAACGATCCCGACCGAGGCACCTCCATATGAGCATTCAACAAATCTCTTCACTGTTTCTTTCGTAGGACTCCCTTTGCAAGGAGCGCCTATAATGTTGTGGGACTAACATGGATGTAACTTTTTTTTTTTCTTAATCAGGATTATTAGTAACAATTCTAGTTCTTTCTCCCCACCTTCTCCCTCCTCTCTCCTCTATGCCTTTCTCTGTCTTTTCTCCCTCTCTCTTCCCATACATTTCCCTCCACTTTTTTTTTTCGTCACTCAACTTGTTCCCCTAAGAAGATAGTACACTAGGATCCTATTAGTCCGCTTTTCATATACTGTACTTCAAGTATAGGAAATGTGCGCTGAGTATACTAAAAGTATATGCAGGATTAATTTTACATAAAGGCCTCTTACGTAACATTTCTCTATTTTTAAAGACATAATTGCAATAACTTCAGTCTTTTTACATTCTTCTGCTGCGTCCATACAATGCTCCACTGCTGTTGAGTGTCCTTTAACTGTGGACCAAAGGCAACCCCTGCAGTGTGTTTATAAAACAATTTGAAGACCATTCAGGCCACATAATCTGAGAATGCAATTTTGTAGGACTACAAAACAAGCCATTAATATGCCAGTCAAGACTACAGTTAAAACTACTCTCGCACTGCAACAGTGCATATGACCTTTATGTGATTGTACAGTATTAAAAGTTTTTTCTTATGTACAGTAAACTTTATCATATGGCAGAAGCCTCTATTGTGTTAAATAAATTAGTATCTCATACATATACATATATATATGCACCTATATAATGTGTATATATATTGAAAGGCGGCCATTGCTATTGCAATTCATTTAATAAAGCTTTAGTTTAAAAAACAACAGGATTGTATGCAGGAACTATGTTTAGTGCAGGGGGTCTTTTCAGTTAGAAAAGGCAGGTTGCTTTAATGTTATTCTGACTCGCATTGTTTGCCAACAGAGAATATTTTATACTTTTGTTATTAAAACATCCAGGGCGATTAAATATTTGTTCCTAGATGTAAGTCATGTGAGTAGGTTTTGCATTTGTTATTCAGCAGTGTACAAAGCTAACCTTGATAACTTTACTTTTAATTAATTATCTAAATGGAAAATGCTATTAGCTGAACCATGTCCACAACAGCACATAGAGCTCGATAAGAGTTTAAACATAGATCATTGAAGGCTAATAAATTCGCTTCCAAAGCAGTAAGCCAATTAATACAACTGTAGTTGGGGAGAAATGGGAGCCCTTAAAAAATTGATGTGGCCTTAATTACCGTCATACATTATCCTAAAGAAGAAAATATAATAACCATATTGGGCTCTCAACTGAACCCCCTTTTTATATTCAGTTCTACTTGGAGGAGTTATGTATTTTTTACATTAGTGCCAAGTGTGTAGAAGGATGACGCAAAAACAGTGCCTCTTTGCGCACAACCTTTTAAAGTAGCATTCTTACCTGTTAGAAACGTAGCCTGAACTTCATTTGTAATCCTCAAATTAAAATGTGGTAAGTAGGAAGCAAGAACTTATCCTGTGTTCTTACACAGCCATACACTTATTTTAATCTAATTCATTCTGTGGCTAGGATTGATGTAGGCATCAATCTATGTGATTTGCTTTAGGAGAAATTAAAGGTATATTATATTTTGATGCTAATTATGTTCTGGGGAGCATCTTGTACTGTCACTGTTTTTGTACTAAATCTTCAAATATTGTCTACTGTGTAAGGCAGAAAAATTTCTTATCATGCAAAAACCATTTTGTTTCCAGGGTAACAAGTACCTAAGTGCATGCACAACTTGTTTTCCCTTGTAACGTTCATGATCTCATCCATGACTCTGATTTTAAAACAAAACAAAATAACAAAAAAAAATCTTTATGAAAAGCTATATAGGGACATTCCAGATGTTGCAGTGATTTTAGCTATCAAACTGTTAACCATGTACAATATTTAAAATAGGCCTATTTTGATGTATTGCCTATTATATAAATACACAAAAACACTTTTTGGAGGCCTCAGTTATGAGTGGCAGAGCTTTCTGTGTATAATTTGTCTAAATAATTTGTCTAATAAAAATGTTTTCTAAACTTGCTCTCATACCATTGAAGTCTTCACTATACAATTTGAAAATGCTTACTCTCTCACATATTGAGCTGAATTTTTTTGAAAACTTATCTTGAGTTAATTAAACACATTAAGCATAAAACACATTAAGTTTTACTAGCAGAACTTTGCCGAAATGAATGACTCTCCAAAAACAATACTAAGTGTTGTCTTAAATGAATGAAAGACTCCTTTTCTGCTATTTGAGACTATTTGAATCAATAATATATTTGGTTTTCTTTATGTATGTCTCTGTGAGGACTTTTTGGGGAGAGATTTATCCTGTTTCATGTAAGCAATGCAACCATTAATAATAGCAGAATGAGGATTTGTTGCATCAAAAAAAAAGAAAAAGAAAACATTAAGGGTAATTATTAAACTTAGAATTTATGTATTAATAATTGCTTTGCTGTTAGAGAAATATTCATCATACTGAATCTATTAATTTGGATATTAATTGACTCTAAATTATTTCTAATACACTACTATTTTCTGCATTTGAACAATATTTAATTTGTCTCACATTTAACTTGTTCAATGGATATATATCTGAAAATATATTCAATTTAGATTAAAATCTCTGCTGTTCTAAAATTGCATTAAAAATTAATTTTTTGTAGTGTGGGGACCTGGAGGAACTATAGAGATCTAGACTATCTCCCTTGTTTTATAAATAAGGGAACATAAGGTGCTTAAAAGCGATAATGTGCCCAAAAGTTGGACAATTTGAGACTTAAAACTGGGTCTTTTATTGTTTCCTTTTAACTCTGCTATGTCACATTCCTCACATTCCCAGGTCCTCATGGGTTGTGAATGTAGGGATGGCTCGAGTACAATGCCCAGCCCAGGCTGCAAATCTTGAGGAACCTCTTTCCTCCTGTGCAACCACACAAAGCTTCTGATTCCACTGCTCCTTTTACAGATGGGAAAGCAAATGCCTCAGGCCACTTGCCCAAGGTCACAGCTCCTGACAGAACTCAGGCCAGATCCTGCTTCTGTCTATTCCTACTTCCACCAGCGGTTCTCAACCTTCCTAATGCCGCGACCCCTTCATACAGTTCCTCATCTTGTGGTGACCCCCAACCCTAAAATTAGTTTCGTTGCTACTCTATAACTGTAATTTTGCTACTGTTATGAATCATAATGTAAATATCTTTTTGTTTTCCCATGGTCTTAGGCGACCTCTGTGAAAGGGTCGTTCGACCCCCAAGCGACCCACAGGTTGAGAACCGCTGCTTTAGACCATTGTTTGTCCTGGTTGGCACCATTTACACCAACCTGGCTATTTCAAAACTCGACAAATACCTTATAGCCATATACTTTTATTCTTCTCAGATGTCAGATTTATTCCTTTAGTGAATCATTAAAAGAACTAGTTGTCACTTTCAACCACATCTGAAGTTATGCACAGATTTTGGTTTAGTCATACATTAGAAAATTGTAAGACCTCTTTTCTTCCTCATACATATCAAACTACAGGCAATTTGTCATTTTATTAATTGTTATTTTTCATCTCTTTTAGTTTGGGATTGGTTGTCAATTGAATAAATACTTTAAAAAATAGACTTTGATGAATGGTACTTTGCTTTATCAATTAAAAAGGGGGGGGGGGAAAGATGAGAAGATCCATCTACCCTACATTATCCTAGCTAAGCCATACAACTGGAAAATCAATTATTAGTATGTGAAAATTACCATAAGCCAAAGGCACGTTACTATCTAACCCTTCCTCCTTATCAATACAATACCTGCATACCATTCGGAGACTGACTCCTGCCCTCAAGGGTCCACATCAGGGGGATACAGGCCGCAATCACTCATTTTCTATCCCTGTAGAGCTCTACAATGTTTCAAACAATGTGCTTCAAAGAGACCAAATACAGTCAATCTTAGGCTACTTTCAACTTTTATAAACTTTTATTTACATTGCAACTAAGGCTCCTGGGCACCTCTTCTGTCATCTAAAACACAGGATACAGCGTAACCAATGAGTTGATGAATGTAGTGTTCTACAGGCTACCCACCATGACAATAGCCTGCAACCCCACACATACTTCCAAAAGCATAGAAACTTCATAGTTTTGCTTCATTTTATAGAGCTGCACAGAGGCATGGAACAATTACACCAACGAATGATTCAGCCAGCCTGCCACGGGGATAAGAACAAACTAAAGAAGCAGTCTCAGCTTTTCACCTAAATTTTCGAAATTTCAATTTTTTTCAATAGTTTTTATTAGTTGTGTTTCTATGTAATATTAGTAACAAAGCAAAAACTTCACATTTGAAAAAACTTTTTCGTTATCTGCAAGCCCTACCCTGACTTGTTAGTCTATACAATTTAGAACCAAGTGTCACTGTTTGACTAATTTTGCTCAGTTCCTAAAATTTCTTCACACTGCAAAAAATAAACTGGTTGTGCTATTTGGATACGTTATTTTATGCTGTAAATGTGGCTGTCTAACCTTTGTGAGAAAGGAGGGCCTGCCTTCCTTCTGGAGAAGCCCTCTAAGTCCCCACCTCACAATTGGCAGCATGTTTCAAAATTCTCAAACTCTCTGTGATGTGATAGGAAAGTCACAGATTTTCAGGACAACATTAATGCTCATTAATTAAAAACTAATTAAGCTTTCATAACAGCTGCTTTAGAAGGAGAAACGTATGTCACAAAATCAAAGGATGACACATCAGAACCAGAGAAGGGATGAAAAACATTGCTTTTAAAAATAAATCTTTTGCATGCCATAAGATTTGAAATATGAATGGAAGGCAAACTTTCATTTTTAAAGTTGCCGTATTGTATTTTTAAATTGGAACAACTAAAAAAATTTTAGGAATTAAGTACCCTACATCCACAACTATTTTTAATATTTAAAAAAGTGGACATCAATAAACAAATTACAACTTGCTTATTTACAAAAGATTCATCATAAGGGGTCTTTAAGAATTAGTTCTGATGTAATAAAGTAAGATTCAATTTGCAAAACCTTACGTTATATAAAACTTGCCAGGATCGTAGCTACTTCCTGGAGCAAGATACCTATATTTATTTCACACTAAACAAGTAAGGAGTTGATAGTTTATAGTTAATTCCTCTGGAATTACATTACAGTTGACTTTCAAATTAACCCTAGTCCTCTACTAATATGTTTTTAAAAATTGGCTGTAAGATTTGTTTTTAGAAATAAAAATACACTAAAATTAAATTGAAAATAGAGGTGTTACATGTCCAGCTCACTTAATTTGATTTTTTCATTCTAGAAATGGTTATTGAATACCTAATATGCTCAAGTACTTCTTTAAGCAATGTTTAAAAAAAGCTTTGAACATTACCATATTTCCCCATGTATAAAACACACCCTTTTTCAAAAAATTTGGGGTTTAAAAACTGGGTGCATCTTATACAGTGGTTGTAGATTTTTTTACTTGCATCTCCCACTTTTTTCGTGCTTGTTTTGCGCTCATACAACCACTATATAAGACATACCCAGTTTTTAGACCCCAAATTTTTCGAAAAAGGGTGCATCTTATACATGGGGAAATACGGTACTTGCTAGATGGATTATAGCTGCATCACACAATTGACAATAGAGATCAAATACAAAACTTCATTCACACATAATGTTTTTAATGAGTACAATACTATTTTCCAAGTCAACATATTAAAAATAAAAATTAAAAATAACTAAGCAGTACAACAAGATACATGTGTAATTTGGACTCCCAGATTCAATTCTGCATGACCAAGCATTTTAAAACTTATTGCTCACCTACTCAGATTTCTCCATGGAAATATCATGGTAAAAATGACTGTTCATAAACTGAGCAACATGTGTGCAAAACCACTTCCACACGTGTAGCCTCCAATGCTTTTAGTGTGTCTAATTAACATGGTAAGTCCTACAATATACCTCAATCACCAATAATATATTTTAATTAATTCTTTCATGTTCATTATCATTAAATGAAGTTTTTAATTCTTACTCCACAGTAATGATTTTTGAGTCTCCTTTTTTAAAACTTCTATTAGTACTTCTACATAAGCTTTAATTAGGCTACAGAGAATATTAGGAACCAAACAGTCATACAAGGTCAGTCCATCAGCTAACATATCTGAGCACCTACTATGAGCAAGGCACCCTAGGGCAGAGGTTTCCCTAATTGGCATACCAAGGCACACTTCTGGACCCAAAGTGGTTCCGGTGCTGAGACATCGACCCCCTCTCTCAGGGTGGTGGGGTGAGCGCCTGGGCTGGAATTCTGCCCATGAGCAGTTCTCTTTGTTTCTACATGGCCTGTCCTCAAAGAGCTTCAAAAGTTGGAGAAACAAAATATAAACATTTGAAAAGTTAAATAAAAATGCATGGTTCAAATAACATCAGAAGATAAGAATATAAATTATATCATGATGCAGAATATGTTTAATTTTCAAATTAGTACTATAGAGAAAATATTCTGAGAAGAGAATGGGGTGGCCTGGCTTGGGATGGTTTCATGGAATAAGTAGAAATTTAGCCTAATCCCAGAGAATATAAAGAGGTCAGAGAATGCAAAAGGGCTTCCAAGCAGAGGGTACAGTGCTACCAAAGGCAGAAGGATGGGTAAGAATGTTCAGAGGAGCAAGTAGCCACGATGTGTGAGACATGGGTCTCATGTCAGAAAATAGCAGGAAGTAACGTTTGGGTGAGATGGTGGAAAGCCTGTAGGCTCGGATCAAGAGATGACACTATCCTATTCATTCACTCCTTCAGGTATTTATGTATTCAACATATGTTCACTGAGGTCCTATTGTGTGCAAGACAGTATTCTAGGTGTTGCGGACACACCAGTAAACAAGGCAGAAATCTCTGCCCTCATGGAGTTTACAATCAACTGGAGTTATGTAGACAATAAGCAGGATAAATACCGGAAGTAGATCATCTATTGGTTGATAAGTCCTGTAGAGAAAACTGAGGAAGAGGAGCAGGAAGGCCAGAGTGAGACTGGGGATTCTCGGTTT